TGGGCTCGCCTCTACTCCAAGAGAGCTGCAGTGGTTCCTATTCCCACACCAGAGGAACGGGATGAGCAATGCAAGCTTCAAGGTCCTTGTGACCTCCCAGGTGCTTCTCCCCCTCTGCTGGTGGATGTTCCCGGCACTGGCCAGGAGTTCGCTGTTCAGGGAACCAGATAGACTGGTCCTAAATACAGATGCAAGCTTGTTCAGTTGGGGGGCTCACTTGGCGACCCAGTTAGCGCAGAGCTGGTGGACCCCGACGGACCTGCGGAAGAACATCAATTGGCTGGATCCACCTAACTCTCCGATGGTTCAAGACGACGGTCGCCGGAAGACACATGCTGATGCTGACAGACAACGTGGCAGCTAAGGCTCACGTGACCAAGCAGGGAGGCACCCACTCCATGGCGCTACGCAACAAGGCAGTGCGTCTAGGAAATTGGGCGGAACGGAACCTCTTGTCGATTTGGGCAGAACACATCTCTGGAGTGGAGAATCAGCAGGCAGACTGGCTCAGCATACAGTAGACCACAGAGTGTGGCAACTTCACCCCAGGATCTTTGAGCAGATCTGCCAGAGGTTCGACCGACCAACTGACTGGATTTCTTCGCCTGTCGAACACCCAGCTTCCGAGGTTCATCTCGTGGTTCCCAACCCGAGGGGCACTGGACATCGACTCCCTGCCCTGCAGATGGCCGTCGGGCCTACTCTATACCTTCCCTCTCCATCCCCTCCTTCACGGGCTCCTGAGGAAGCTAGTGTTAGAGAGGGCAGAGATCATTCTACTGGCCCCTTACTGGCCACAGCGTCCCTGGTTCGCGGACCTAGTGGAGATGTCGATTCCGCCCCATTGGAGAATCCCACAGGGGGAGGTGGCCCTGCGCCAGGGGAGCCTGGGGCACCCAGACCCAGAATGGCTCCACCTGACTGCCTGGCGCTTGAGCGGGAGCAACTAAGAGAGGCCCAATTTTCCGCTAGAGTCATCAGGACCATCGCATATACGATGCGACCTGGATGTCCTTCGCAGTCTGGTGTCGGTCTGTGCAGTTAGACCCGGCATCGGCCTCAGTCCCTGAGGTGCTAGAATTCCTCCAGGACGGTCTGGAGAAAGGCCTGGCTCACAGTACCCTCAGAAGGCAGGTCTCAGCCTTAGCCACTTTCCTTGGAGGGGTGGGCGCCCAACCCTTGTCCCAGCACCCGGTCATAAAGAGGTTCCTCAGAGGGGCAGCTAATCTCCAGCAGCCGGTGGTTCACCGCTTTCCCTTGTGGGATCTGCCCACAGTGCTCCAGGCGCTTCTGGAGGCACTGTTCAAGCCCGAGGGAGGTGAGCCTACAGTTTTTAACCCTCAAGGTGGTCTTCCTTGTTGCGATCACCTCTGCCAGGAGGGTGTCCGAGCTTAATGCTTTATCCACCAGGGCAGACCTCTGCACCTTCCATGACAACAGGGTCATGCTCAGACTTGATCTGGCCTTTATGCCTAAGATTAATTCCTCCTTTCATAGGGCCCAGGAGGTCATTCTTCCAGATTTCTGTCAGGCCCCTTCCATGGGAAGAGAGAGGGCCTGGAACCGCCTGGATGTAAGAACAGCACTGCACATTTAGCGCACGGTTGACTTCAGGCAGATGGAGGCTCTATTCATTTCCTTCCATCCCTCGTCCTGTGGAGCCAAGGTCTCCCCGGCTACCATCAGCAGATGGATAAGGGTAGCAATTTCCAAGGCCCATGAGGCTCGAGGGCTGCCAGTGCCGGTGGGCATCACCGCACACTCTACCCAGAGTGCGGCTACCTCTGCAGCCTGGGCCACCCAGGCTCCCATCGAGGATATCTGCAGGGCGGCTGCCGGGTCCTCGCCTTCGCCTTTCATTTGGCACTACCGCCTAGATGCTTATGCCTCAGCTGAGGCATCTTTCAGGAGGAGGGTCCTTCAGGGAGTACACTTGGGGGACTCAGGCCCAAAAATTCCTCCCATGAACATCTAGCTTTGGTATGTCCCATTGTTGACTCCTCCCATGCCCCACCTTGGAGACTTGTCAGTTGGTCTTACCTTAACTGCATGCCTCGAGGGTGGCATGGGAGGAGTCACTTCCTACCCATTAGGCACGCTCTGCAAGGGCCTGAATGGGTTACCTACAGGTCAGTCACGGATCTGGGAGGGAGTTTGGGTGCCCTGTCCCTTCCTTCCCAGGCTTTACTTCGACTGGACCATCGGTTAAACTGGAGAGTCAGGAGGAGGAGCAGAGTGTCCTCAGATTCACCTCAGTCTCCGGGCAAATGGGCCGTGTTAATACTCATTGTTGACTCCTCCCACGCCACCCTTGAGACATGCAGTTCAGGTAAGACCAACTGACATTCCCAGAAGTCAGAAAAAGGCTGAGTCTTCTGGAACAAATTAGCTGTAAACTGATCAAACAGCTTTAACCAACTTACGTACACCCAGAATTGTCTGTAATTAACATACTGCCACAACTAAATACAGCAGTTTAGGAGTAGTTGTTCTAAGGTAAAAAGATAAAAGTTTTCCCTGTCAGTTGTATCTGATTCTAAGGCACGGAGCTCAACTCCATTTCTTGACCGAGAGCGCCAGTGTTGTCTGAAGACAATATCCATTGTCATGTGGCATGACATGGCTATATGCTAAAGGCGCATAGGGCGGTTACTTTCCCATCAAAGTGGTACCTATAACTCTACTTGAATTTACATGCTTTTGGACTGCTAGGTGGTCAGGAGCCAGGGCAAGTAACAGGAGCTCACCTTGTTGTGTCGAGCTTGGGTCTCAAACCCGGGCTGTCAGCTCTCCAACTGACAAACATTTGAAATATCTTATACATTTTGTTTAAAGCATGTTGTCTTCCTTGGATCTAATGTTGTCTGCACTCTATTGCTAAGCTAGGACTTATTTGAAATCTCATTAGCCCATACAAGGGCTTAGCATGGATTTAGGAATACAGCTATTATGCCTGTATTCCTTCTGCTGTTAAGCCACAGCATACCACGAACTGTGAAACCATCTTATGTGGGAGATGTAGTGGTTAGTGATACTAGGACCAGAGAAACCGAGATTAAAAAAAAATGTTCTTAACGACACAAAATGGTGACCTTGAGCCAATCGCTGCTCAGAAGAAAGGAAGAATCATCTACGTATATTTTAATTCACAGAGACATACTATGTCACTTCCAAGTTTCAGTCATAAATTGTTGACATTGTTTGAAAGACCCATGGGGCTGCATTCAAGGCTTTTGTAAATTCATATAGCCTGCGGGCTTCAATTGTGCACTCCTTTTTATACATAATAGAGCTGGAATGCCCAGCTTTGTTGCTGGCCAACATCAAGAAGGATCAGCAAATTTCAGAAAACAAAGCACTGAATAAAATTATCTTTTAACTAAAGACCATGTCTGTAAATTGACTTCTTTGATTTTTTTGGACTCTGTCTTCATATTTCATCATCCAGTTTTGCATATCTTCAGAAGTAAATTGACTTCTGAATGCATACACATATACTCTCTCACACAAGCCCTCTCATAGAAATGCAGACAGAACCATTTTCTGTTCCTGTTACTAAGACAAGTGTGGCACTCAAGCTCTTCTTCCCACTAACTATATATTGGCACTACCCTATTCTCCCAGCGAAGGGAGAGAATCTGGCTGCAATAGGCCAGCATGCTTAAAATAGCTATGAAACTGGAGTGGGCAAGAAGCACTCTGACCCACTGGTCAATTTCAGGTGACCATTTGATGCCAGCTGATTGCTGAAATTCTTGCAAAGAACGAGGAAGGAAAGGCCCTGATCTCATCAGGCAAGGCACCTTTTACATTCATAGGGAACTATTGGACTTACAAGATAGATTTGGATTAATCCTTTTGAGAGGTCAGTGAATACTGAAATAGTGAAAGAGAGACACAAGGGACTTAGAAGCCAACAGTCTAACGGGAGCAGGGACACAATTAGAAAAATTCAAAACCCTTCATAAGGCTTGCAGGTGGTTATAAACAGTGACCGGATCACACATTAGCCATGCAGAAAATTCCAAATCGGATATTGGCAATCCTATCTTAAAAGGAGTAAGCACAAATCAAAGACTGTATTTAATGAGTTATGTATTGCTAAATATTTTTCTTTTAAGCTCAATTATATGTTACCTTACAAATCTGTGCAAACTCATTGAAATTTTCACGCTGTGCAGAAAAACACTGTTTTCTAATTTATTCTTCCAGGAAAAAAAACAACAACATAAACCTCCCAATTTAGAATGCCGCTGCTTAGAAGGAAGTGTCAGAAACAGGATATACATTGTTTTCTTTGACTCTCCTGGCCTCTCGCTACAACCATCGAGTTTTCAAATTCTGAGGCTCGCTCTTCTTGTCAATGAATCAATAGCAGGCATGGATCATTAAAACTTACTTCAGGATTTTACTGTCCAGATGTTTGAACATTTGCCTCCTCATGCTTAGCAGTTCCTTTTAGTTCTCAATTAATAATAGTGCAATGGTGCAGGAATCCCGAGGTTTAAAATCCCCCCCCCCCCCAAAAAAAAAACCATCACAATAGAAAGACCTTCAAATTCAGTGGCCTGGATGAAATTTTGAGAAGTTATTGAGATTTCTACTGTGGCAGTAGATAAATCAATGGGAAAAAATTGCATGGGTTGTGTAATAAATATGTGTGTGACAGAGAGAGCAGAGAATTTTAGGTACAATATACTAGATAGATATATTGTCTTGACAACCTGGATTTTTCCAAGTCAATTTCTTTCTTCCTTACGTGTACTGCAAAATAAATCACTGATTACTCAGAAGGCCATATGGCATGCTAGTTCAATAACCCTTTGTACGCAATCGACTTTTCCTCCTATTAAAGACTTTCAACTTTTTATTATATACTCTTACCTTCACATAAAAATCAATGCACTTTTGTTGTCCAAAGACTTTTTTAACCCAGCAAAGCCCATCATTTTTCCAGTTTTTATCCCTCCTCCTGAATGAATACAGGCACAAACAATCTTATCAAGAGTGGGCTTTTATTTTTTTTCCTTTTTTGGAATTTTTTTAAACCTTAGGTTCCCTTCCAGCAGCAAATGGGTGCCAAGGAAAGAGACCAACAAAAGAATCCAAATGCTCCCTCCCGCCGCCTAATCAACACATTCCAAGCACAAATTAAGAAATGCAAACTAAACCAAAAAATATATATATATTTGTATATATAATTTGTCTTTTTCTCTCCGGGTTGCACCCCACCCTGCTCCGCCTCCAATGACGGCTGGGGTTTTGTGGCTCTCTTCAGTAAGGGGGCAGCAGGGCACGCACACACACACAGGTGGTTGGAAAAGGAGGAGGAGCATCGCTTGGTTCCACTCCCTCCCGTTGCTCCCCAAGTCTGACAGTAGAAAAATATGGCAGCTGGAGCCACCCTTATGCCAGGCCAAAGCCTTCTGAGCATTCCTGGATGGCCAGTAGCAGCATGTGACGCAGTTTCTCATAGCTTTCATAGGCAGGGAGGTCCAGCTGGTTGAAACTGGTGGAAGAAAAACAGTAATTAAATGAGGGAAGGCAAGGATCACGTAATCAGCTAGACTGTTTGCAGGCAATATTTTCGGCAATAACTCCCACCAGGGATCTACACTCACCCCTTTGAAAATTAATGACCACCGATTAAAATTATATACAGATATCACCAATTTTTCCTTCATTTGTTTTTTTTTTCCTCCTTCAACCTCACAGCAGACCTAAGTGGGAGATTGTTTAAAGTCGTATAAAAATCCCCCAGGTATTGCAGGATTACAATTGCTTAAGTAGCTGTGTCATGGGGTAAGTATAAATACACAAAAGGGTAGCACAAAAATTTCCAGGTCTTGCAGAAGTTGATTAATGCCTTGATTAACAGTGCTATTCCTTTGAGTTGAAGGAGTTATTGCAGAGGGAAGCACTAAAAGAAAAAAGACCTAGGAGAATTCTTCTGATAAACAGACACATATCAATAATGGGTTTTATCCAACACTCCCCATCTGCCCCTTACCACGTGTGAGCAGAAGGCAGTCTGTCCGTTGAGCGGTCATCTCTGTGGATCTGAAATTTCTGGATACCATTCATGCCCTCTAGGGCAGCAAAGCCCTGCAAGGGCACCTTGGACGTGCCAGTGACGAACTGCAGGAACTTCGCTCTGTCAGCCTGATCAAAGGAACGCAGTGCTCGCCAGAACCACTGGATCTATGGGGAACGAAGGAAGGAGTGGGGTGCAATGTCAAGAGTTTTGTTTTTGTTCAAAAATGATGAAAAATTTAGACCCTTCAGGGGAAAAAATGGAGGATAACCCAAAAAAGGATAAACGTTAAGGACAATTTAGTCCCAGAAAGGGACCCGTTTCAATGTGGTTTTTGTAGCAATAATATGATGAATTCTGGAATATTTCAATATCTCTCCCCCCCCCCCCAAAGCTCTTCATTCAGTGCC